GGCATATACTGGCTACCAAAAATAAGGAAACTACAACTGGTCACAAATTTTCAACATCTGAAATGTTAGGGAGAAATAATTCTTCAAAATTAGAATTTTGACAGCACATAAAAATAGAGTTTTGCACATTTTTCCTGTCCCCCCCCCCCAATTAGCTATAGAGCTATTATTTAAAAAAAAGACTTTAAAAAATGAAATTTTTGTCCAAATTTGATTTTTTGGGGAAAAACTTTGCAAAATATTATTTTTTGACTTTTTTACCACCTCCAAAAAAAGTTTCTAACTTACTGATCCAGATTCACTACTCATGTAAGCAGATCCAGCTCAAATAATTCTCCCAAAGTTGCTCTTGTGGTTGGTGTGGATTATTGTGTGTAGGGGCAGTTGGCATCTTTCAGGCTTAAAAGTCACAATGTACACAGGCACACCAAACAAACCACAATGGACCAGATCCTCAACTTGTGTACATTGCTTTTGCTCAGTTGAAGTCAATGGAATCATGACAATTTACATCAGCTGAGGGTCTGGCCCAGTGTATTCAGAGCTGAACCCTAGAGTGTCAGTGAACTGCACTGACTAGGTTTCCCATAAACTCCATAATCTGAAGTTTGATTAAAAGACTCATTGCAAAAGTGTGGATCTCCTTTTAAAATGGGTCCCCTGGCCAGATGGGAGGTTTTCAGGTGGGAATTGTGATGCTGGGATGTTCCAGCAGATGGCAACAGGTTCCTAGTGTGAGCTATAGTAGTAAGGTAGATTGGATCTCTTTCTTTTCTTTCCAGAAATAAACATTGCGTAACCATTTTGACTTGCGTTTGTATTTCCAGGAGTCCAATATAAGAGGCCTCAGAGGAGTTGTCCTTCTTATACCATGCTTTACTGCAACACCAGCTGAGGAGTTCTGGTCCATGGGACACATATCCTTCAATGAAAGAAGTTCCCACTTCTTTGACACATTTACTTCTGGTCTGGACACTGGAGAATATGCTATAGAGAACAACCTTGTATTGCCCTGGAGAAATGGATTAGATAACTTAATAGCCCTTTTCTGTTTCTAATCTATGTTTCTATGAAGGTACTAACTGTAAATTGCAGGCTAAGTGAGGTTTTTATAGCCAAAAAAAATCTATTTTAATTGGTAGTGCACAGTGTAATTGCTTATTGATTTTATCTGCTGGATTTCACATTGTTAAACTGCTCAAGCAGCAGAAACCTCGTAAATAAACACAGGTATTAAATTAATAAATGTTACATTTGAAGGCACGCACCATTGGTTCCTAACAAAATCAACATTTGCTAAAAAGATAAACAGTACTTGCATAAGGGCTTGTTTTGATTAGGTGTTTCCCTTCTTAATTGTTGAATTAAAATGTCTATGTGAACCATCAGGAGAGAACAGTGTCTTACATGGAAATTTGTACTTCTTCTTTATCGTGAGGGCATGGTTGTAGAATGATTCTTTTAAACAGGCAAGCCCTCAGCAGGTGTAAATCAATTTAGCTTCATTGATTTCGATGGAGCTATGCAGATTTATTCCAGCTGAGGCTGTAATAATCCTTACTGTACTTGTGTATACACTTTCTTGTTACAGACATATTAAGATGGAACACCAGCAAATTATGAAGCATGTTCAGCAGGAATGCTGCTACCCGGCCAGCAACTGTGGTTGCCAAAAGCTTTGATGGCATGAGAAGATCGCCAATGATGGGCCAAAAATGAAAATCCAGCCAGACCAACTTAAAGACCTAGCGAGTGATTGATCCAGGTATGGATTGATCTGCAAGGAGGCTATGGCCCCCTGAGATTGGCTATGATGCTGGTGATGTCTTCCTCTTCCTAATTGTTATTGTAATGTGATTATTTTGTCATGCACAATAAAATACGTTAAAGAAATAAAATAAAAGGACAACACAGCCTAATATGCAATTACCAGCCCTGACATAAAGCACGGGGTTTCCCAGAACCCCACCTTCTCTAAGATCATGACATCAGCATCGTCATCTGAAAGGAAATCACAAGGAAAATATAGATCTTCTCCGTGCCTATGCAAATGTCATGCATCATCTAGAGAATGGTTTCATTCCCCACTTCCCCTCTTGCAATGAATCGTTGTGAAAGAAGAAGTTAATTAGACACTAATACGGTCTCTTGGCTCACGCTAACCAGATCCCTGGTGAAAAACGTTATACCACAAGGTAAAACAGTACTGTAGCTTATTTATTGCAGGGCACTGGCCTGTATCCCTAGTGATCTGCTAACAGGCCAGTGTCCTGAGTCGCTTTGGCCTCGCCACGAGCGTTTGATGCTTGGCAAAAGCGCTGTGTACATCAATCCTGTGGCATTTGGTAAGAAAAGACTGATAGGCACTCCAGCTGCTAAGATCTTGAGTTTGGGAGACTAGGTGCTGCCACCAAACTTTGCTAATGGAGCAGTGCCATGCACCCATGGCATATTGCATGAACTCTTGCCACTTGGTAACATGGTAATAGCTTGAATCCTTGGCAATATGACACATGGTAATGGAATTTCATGAACTTGTAGTATAGGGGTAATAATCTTTGGCACTTAATAGCATGGCACTTGGGTGGACGCTTGGTACCAATAGGGGTGGGGATGAGGAGGAGTGGTGGGTATGTAGGGTTAGATAATACAGAACTCAGCTGCTGGGTTTATTGTTATTATTTATGGTGTGCTGCCTGTACAGTCTGTGCTACCAGACATTGGCAATAGAGTTTAGACACAAACAGGACCAGGTGGGCAAACTGATGCGCAAATTTTAAACCTCTCCCCAAGCCTAGTATATTCTATAAATGCTGGGGGGGACCATAAAAAGATGTGTCAGGGAAGCTGTAGTTTTAGGGACTGAAGAGAGGGGGATTGTTTGGGAAACAAGTGAGGGAGAGCCACGTCCCTGAAAGTTTAATTGTGAGAATGGGCATTAGGGTTAATTTATGGCTTGATCCTGTGCCCTTTGATGTCAATGGGAGCCGGGTGAGGCCCTTAACTGGAATATTTAGTAGGGGACGAGGGTGCACAGCGCCCTTCTGGTCTATCGGCAGTAGTAGGTTTTCTCCCCACCCACAGGAATAACTCCCAGTGAAACAATCAGAAAGCCAAGCATCCAAGATCAGACGGTACCACTAGAGCTCATCCAGTTTTCCCTCCTGTTTATCACAGGCCACTACCACCCCCTGCACCCCCCCAGCAAGCCCCCAAACCAGAATTAGCCCAAAGTATTACACTGCTCAGGCAACAAAACTATTAGGTGTCATCTGCAGAGAAGAGGAGGGCTCAAGGTGCAACCAAAGCCCCTGCAAGGGCCGAGAATTGATTAAATGTGATATACCCAGATGAGGGGCATTAGCGCTGTGATGTGAAGCCACAAAAAGCTCTGGTAATTACAGCATCCTATTATTCCCATTCCTACTTTGGTACTGTGGGTACCCTCTTATTTTAGCTTATGTATTTACTTATCACACAATGGTTCTCCACTGCCACAATTTCACACTTTACAGAGCCTCAGCTACAGCAATAGACCCTCCCTGCCCCAAAGAGCCAATGAGCTGCCTAAGACATGACAAAACAAAGCATAAGGTAGTATGTGGGTGGATAGAAATGGGGAAAGGAGGGATAGTTTGACGAAGCGTAGCTTAAGGGAGAGCTTTGAAGGCGGCAAGAGAAATATTTTTAGCAAATGGTAATGCAGCTCACTGGAAGGAAATAGCTATTAATACTTAGCTCTTAGAATAGGACAGAAAATCCATTCACTGGCTGGGAAGCCATCAAGGCTGCAATTTCCAATGGGGGTAATTGATTCAGGGTGTCTCCAGTTTGGGGCACTCCCCACCCCCGGAGACACCTTGGGGCCTGATTCTTCAGAGGTGCTCGCAACTCCAACTCAATTCAATGGGAGCAACATTAAATATGGAGATTGAGAGCCTAACTTTAGGCATTTATTTTATGTCTGAAAACTTTGCCCATCAGTGGGAGGGGAAAGAGTTTCCTAGGCACCGATTTCCCCCCCCCCCCCCCAAAAAAAAATCACCATGGAGTCAATCTTTTTGTCTTTATTAGGGATAAGGTGGGGCGGCTATCTCTGCAGTGAATTAGGATGGGAAGATCCCAGCTCTGCAGTGCATGGGGGGTGGGGGGAGAGGGGAGGGAATCTCATCTCTTCAATGCATTCCGGAGGGGTGTGGAGAGTTTCTGGCTCTACATTGCATTGGGGTGGGGGAAATCCCTTTGCTTCAGGGCATTTGGGATGTGGGGGGTCCATATCTGCATATGATTGAGGTGGGGGATCCCCTCTCCTCAGTGCATTCAGTGCTAGTGGTACCTTCTGGTCTTAGATGCTATGCCTCAATTGCCCATCGTTTCATTGGGAGTGCATTCAGGGGCGAGGATGCCTTTACTCCAGGGGTAGTTGATAGGTGGAGCATGGGCCAAATCAGGACTGCCAGATGCTTTTGAATGGACCCTGACATCTTTTATTTACTTATTATCATTATTGGGTTTTTTTTATTATTATTTTCTCTGGAGTCTTGACCTGGACTATACCTTGACCAAGAAACGTGCACCTTTGACTACCCTTGCTTTATTGCATTGCACTGGGGTGGAGGGATTACTTCTCTTCAGTGCACGGGGGTGGTCGTGGGTTTCCCTATCCGCACTGCCTTGGGGAGGGGTCCCTTTTCTACCCAGCTTTAGGGATGGGGAAGGTTCTTTCAGCCCCCTTCAGTACTGTGCACTGGGGGCTCCCGTGTCCCGCCTCTCCAGTCTGCTGGGTGGGGGAGCTTGGCATCCCCTGCAGTGTTTCTAAGGTACTGGGGGGCATTCCCGGTCGCGTGCTGGGGGGGGGGGGGGGGGCCCCCCCCCCCCCCCCCCGGGGGGGGGGGGAGCGAGGGACTCCTTTGCCTGCCCAGCTCCCGGCGGAGGCGCCGGGCAGGGCGGGGAGGCGATCGGCGCAGGGAGCCGGGGGGGGGGGGAGAGGGTGACGCGGCTCCCAGAAGTAAGAGAGACACAAAAAAGCCGCCGCAGCCCGGGGCGGGGGATCGGAACCGGACCCGAACCGGACCGGCTCCCCCGCGACACCCGCCGGTCCCTGAGCCGGGCCGGGAGCCCCGAGAGCCGAAGCGGGCCAGGGACGAGCCGGGCGGAACCGGAGCAGCCAGGACCGGGCTCCCGAGAGCGGCCCGAGCCCCCCGGCCGGCGAGAGCACCGGACCGGGCCGGCCGAGGCGGCGGCCCCGAGCTGGGAGCGGGAGCAGAGCCGCCGAACCGGGCCGGGGCCGCACGGAGCGGCCGGAGACCCCGCTCCTCCAGGCCGCGGGGACAGACCCCGCTGGGACCGGACACCGAACCGGGCCAGGATCCAGGGACCGGACGGAGAGACCCAAGTGGGCCGCGCTACCGAACCGGGCCCGGACCCCGGGGAGCGGCGGGGGGACCCCGCTGGACGCGGGGCCCGAGATCCCGGCGAGCGGACCTGACCCGGGGACCCCCCCCCGCCTCGCAGGGGAAGCGGAGCCCGGCCCGGCTGGAGGAGATGGAGCCCTGAGAGCCGCCGGCACCGCGGGGCCTAGGGGGACACCGGCAGCCGCTGCTCGGGGGGGACATGGGCCCCGCTCTGCGCCCCCAGGAGGAGAGGGAGCCGCGGGCGCGGGGGGGCTGTGAGCCGCACCCCGGCACCCCCAGATAAGGGACCCCGACGTCCGGAGGGGGCACCCCGAGAGTGACCGGTTGCGGGGCACCCCCTATTATCCCATAAGGGGGCTGTGTAGGCTTCTCCATAGGTCAGGGTGTGTATAGGTACCCCCCCCCCATAATCCATAGGATTACCCACCCTGGTGGTTTGGGAGTGGAGCCCTGTCACCCCAGGGAAGGTAAACAGAGGAACAGATACCCTGGTAGGGCCCAGTTAACAAAGGCGTCTCTTAGGCTCAAATCAGGATCTCCGCATAACCACCCTTTCCCCGGCATTTAAAGGTTTGGACCCTCTGAGGATTTACCACGTTTGAATATTTTTTCTCTTCCTTTTGGGAAATTTTTGCCCCTGGGAGAACTCGTGTGTGTTGTTGGATTATTATTTTTTTTTTAAGAGTCCCTTTGATCTGGATATTCTGATTGACTGAGCGAAGGTGTTTTTGAACTGAATTTGCCTTCTGTGCACGTCTCTTCTGGAGCAAGGCTGGATCTCAAACACTGCTTTATGTGTGGGGGGCAACATATGTGGGGAGATCCCTGCGAGAATAGTAAAATGCAAATTGGATAAAAAGACGACTCCTTGCCCAGGGCTCCAATGAGTGGCACACAGTCCACAATCACGGACAGGTTAGTATGAAACAGGATTTTATTAAACAAAAAACCCGTTTCCCTGCTCCAGAGTTGGTTGCCTTCTTTTTGGGTTTAGTGACAGCATGAAAGGTTGGGAGGGGTTGACAGGATCAGGAAAGTGGGAGTAAATTGATTTTGGAATCAGTAAATATTCCTGAGCAATTGAAATTAACCCAACATTTAAAACAGCTAATCCATATCTGTAGGAATTAAGGGATCCTCTTTCAGCCTCAGAGCTAGAGGGTCAAAGTACCCAAGACAGTCAGGTAAAATTAAGGGTTGGGGCTTCCTGGCAAGGGGATGTAATTTAGGCTACAAACATTTTGTGTATTAGGTGTATGTATATATCTATATCTATTCTTTATTGGGTCAGCAAGTTACAGTCATTCAGGGAAAGGTCACTTCAGGTGAAGACAGGATCCATATCTGATCAACAGGTATGTCTGCCCAGGTGTCTACTATATCATAGTGGTGTTTTCCAATTGTCTCCTTCAGGTGACTTCTTCAGTCTCTTGGCTTCTGTGTAAAACATCATTTTACTCTCTGGCAGTTTTTGTGCCTTTTCATCTTTATTGGGTTCTTCAGGGACAGGGGCTGGAATGTTGCTCTCTGTTAGGAGAGATTTGGATCGTATAAGAGCCATCGGATAATTCCACACAAACTTTCCATATGCGTTTGAGACAGTAGCATGATGTGAAGGAAGGAGAGTATTTAAGTTGTATTTCCATTTCTAGGCAACCAGGAAAAATGTCTTCTCTGAGGTTTTCAGACAAGATAATTTATTTTAGTGCATAGGTGTGTGTGTTTGGAAGCGATGACATAAAATGATAGCAGAACTGTGTGCGGTTTGGACCACTTGGGCCTCATGTGATCTGTACATCAGTCTTGAAGTAGCTGAGACAGGAGCATGATTCAGTTTCCAGTATCTGAGAGTAGCCTTGTAGATTCCAAAGGTGGGCAGAAGAGACACTGAGCCTGATTCTCATGTACATTAAGCCTTTTTACACTATTCTGGGAGTGTAAAGGGGCCTTAATGGGTGTTAAACTGCCTGAGTAGAATAAAGGGGCCTTGGTGTAAACAAGAATCAGGTCCACTATGTTCTGTTTATCATGTTTGTTTTCAGAATATTGAGCATTTGCAATTAATTTTTGCAATATTCATTTTTTTCTAGTGTGATAGGTGGGACAGTAACCGCTATACTGTGAATGCTGACTTGTTTTTCTTTTACAGAGCATGTGCATTAACACTGAATTGCATATTTGTATGAGTGCTGTAACGTACCATTTTCATACACAGCAAGGAGAGTTCTGTCATATAGATTTAAAAGAAATGCGTTCCCTAAAACTATTTAAAAGACATCATAGGGATAACTAGGTACTGGATCTAGGGTTTCCACCATATACAGTTCGGTTCAATGGCTCTCAGCACCCCCACTATTTAAAAAAAAAAAAATTGTTCCAGCACCTCTGTAGGGACAATAGGCTCTTCACACCAAAAAAGAAATTCAGTTGCTGAATGTGAAGGGGATACATGAAGGCAGGGGATTTGGTTGTTAATAAAACAAAAAATATTTTCCATCACTGCATTAGAAGGGCCAGTACAAAAACATAAGCACTTCCACTTCCTGCTGCTTTGTCATGTCCCAGGCATGTTCGTGTGCAGTATCCAATTAAAAGCTTGGAATAAAAATATGAATGCTGGGAAAAGAGGCTGGCTTGACAGCCCTGGAGACTAAAGCTTTCTATCATGACCGAGTACAGCATGGGCGATGGCAGGTTGGGGAGGCTTGTCCTTTGCCTTGCCACTCTGCCTCACCTCTGACCCGGAGGAACCCTTGATCTAATGGCGAGAGGGTAATTCAGTCTTCATGGCCCATTTGTTCCTTGGCTGAGACAGTTGACAAACTGCCAAATGTGACGATGTGTTCTCGTGATCTGGATATCCGCTCACTAGGAATTGGAATGAGACCACGCATGCATTCATTCATGTGTGGCACCAAATGCCCTCAAATGGTGGTCTTTTTGGCCACCCCTGTCCTGGCAACCTAGCGGTGAAAGGCTCTCTGTCACATTAGGGTAAAGAAATGTATATTCCCTTTTTATGTCTTGCTACTAATTGTGGGAATACAAAGTAGGTGCAGCCTAAGTGCAGGTCACTAGGCCTACAGAATATAAAAGCATATTCCAGGTTTAAGTTTCTCTGGTTGCCAGTGATGTTTATTAGCCTGGCTTTTTCACTCTTTCATGGAGTGCCTTTTTAAAAGTTCAGACATCCACACGTGTGCCAAACAGAAACATGAACATAGCAGGGAGGGCATTATGAGCCAACATCCTTCTCAGTTTGTGTTTATGGGCCTTTTGCGTACTGATCGCTTCTTAAATACCTATTAGGGAAAAGATCTACTGTCCATATGCATAATCTCCTTCACTCCCCCGCCCCCAACTGATTTAGCAGTGACCACCTTGAACTTTATTTGTGATATCTGATTGACATTCTTTTTGTGCAGGGTTACACTGGCTGTCGTGCTCGCAGCTCTTGCAGTTGATCTCATTTCTGGCACTAGTTTACAAGTTAGGCCAAAGATAGGAATAGTCAGTTTCAGTGCTGCTCCAGTGACAACAGGCCAAATCGCAAAAACCAGCCAGCCCTCTCCTTTTTCTCTTTGTCCCATAGCCCCTTCTGTTTAAGACACTTGGAGGATTCCAGATATTCCTGCAACTGCATCTGGGTCTGCTCAGGTATGCAATGCAGCCAATTTGTGTTGGCCCAGTTTGAGATGTCGGTCTCTCTCAAAATGCATCAAGCCATCAGCCCAGCTCTGTTTAATCAGAGATGTTATGCATCTGTTCTAACCCACCAAAGTAGGAGTGTTTCCTACAGGACATTTTCTAGCATATTTTCCCCCAGTGTATAAATGTCTCAAGAAAACACTAGGTGTTGAGTTAAATGAATTTATAACAAATCCTGAGACTGGTCAGCGAGTTAACTCCTTATCTTCAAAGCTATCCTGAAAAGAAGATGGAAATATCTGGGACATGTTAAGAATGAAGCCAGAGCATCTGTGCTATTGGACTACTGGAGAAGGGGGCAACTGAAAGAATCCTTGTGTCAAACAATACTTGGAGAGCGAATTTGGGGGATTTAATGACTTAGAGCAGTGGTTTTCAAACTTTTTTTTTTCTGGCAACCCAGTTGAAGAAAATTGTTTGATGGCTATGACCCAACGGAGCTGGGGCAGAGGGGTTTGGGGTGTGGGAGGGGGTCAGGGCTGGGGCAGAGGGTTGGGGTGTGGGGGGTAAGGGCTGTGGGGTGGGGCTGGTAATGAGGGGTTCAGGTTCTGGGAGGGGGCTCTGGGTTTGGGGGCTCAGGGCTGGGGAAGAGGGTTGGGGTGCAGGAGGGGGTCTGGGCTGGGGGTGCAGGCTCGAGTGGGGCTGGGGATGAGGGGTTTGGGGTGCAGGAAGGGTCTCTGGGTTTGGGGGGGCTTAGGGCTGGAACAGGAGATTGGAGTGTGGGCTTACCTCAAGTGGCTCCTGGTCAGGAGCGCAGTATGAGTGCTAAGGCAGGCTTCCTGCCTGTCCTGGCACTGCAGACCACACTGAGCCCTGGAAGTGACCAGCAGCAGGTCCAGCTCCTAGGCGGAGGTATGCAAGCGGCTCTGCGAGTCTCTCTCCCGTAGGCACTCCCCCTCCTCCCCCCAGCTCCATGAGAGTGCAGAACCCGTGCTTGGGGTGGGGTCAGCGTGCGGAGCCCTGCCCCCGCCCCCCAGGAGCCATACCTGCTGCTGGCCACTTATTGGGCGCAGCGCGGTGTCGGAACAGGTAGGGACTAGCCTGCTGTAGCCAGACAGCACAGCTGATGGGACTTCTAACGGCCCGGTCGGCGGTGCTGACCAGAGCCGCCGTGACCCAGTGCCTTACATTCCACAACCCAGTACTGGGTCACGACCCACAGTTTGAAAACCACTGACCTAGAGGACATGCAAAGGGTGTGCCAAGATAGATAGGGATAATGGCACCTTGTTTGTGTCCTAAATGACCTCTCATGGCATGGGAAGGATTCAGAAGCTTAAGTACACCAAACAAGGCTTTCCTCCCCTTCCTCTTTTGGGAGACTATTAAACAGCCTAGATTTTCTCTCTTCGTGATTGAATCCTGCCACCCATTGGACTATATGAAACAATTTCCCTTCATCCTTGGTGTTCGCATCCTTGGAAATGATCATGCACCCTTCACTTAATTATCTCTTAACCAGGTTGTGCATATTTAGCTCTTTTATTGCTTCCAGTCTTTCACTGTTTGTTCAATTCCTTCCCTAGTTGTCACAGTTTTTCTGGTACTGAATGGTTTTGGCTTGGTGATGTTCTGTTAGTGTTTCCAACTGTCGGGTCAGTCCTAGGCTAAGATTAGATGGTTACGCTGGCTTTAGACTTTGGTGTGTGTGTGTGTGTTTGGGTTTCTTCCTTCTGTTGTTTCTCTCAGGGTTGCAGGCTCTTCAGAGTCCCTCTGACTCAAGCTAAAATCAAACAGGCTGGCTTTGGGCGTAGCTATCTTGCCGTTTGTGGCAGGCGACACATGGCTGAGCAAGATAAGGGTTTTATTCTTAGCAGGGACTGCTGGGACTGGGTTGAAACTCAGCAACTTGCAGGCTGTGATTGGTCACTTAATGATTATCAGAACCTTGTTGTAGCTTCTTATAATGCTGCAGAAACGTTTGGATGTAGTTGTTTTTCCTTTTTTGTAACCCAGTTCCTACATTTTTCTTCCTGCAGCGGCTCCAGTCATATTGGAGCAAGGAGATTGCATGGTTACATGGACTGTGCAGGTTTGTGTGTGTGTGGTGGCTCAAGTACTGTAAAGAATGTAGATATTTTGTAAGAAGTGTGTCCATGTTCCTATGCGATTGCTGTCAAATAGGTTTTATTTATAATAGTGCCATAGCCTGTGCTACCATAATTGTAAAATAAGGCGGGGAGGGGGTAGAATTTACACATAATTAT